CAATGATTAGTGATAAGTTATATTAGTTACAAACTTATAATTTATTTCAAATCAAAATAAAACTTATTTACTTACATATGTTATTATGAAAGTCAATACACTAATACATTGATTTGCAATTCACATACATTCACTTACATTGTTTAGTTGTCTTATCTATACTTAAAGCTTTAAGATTAGTGAATAGATAATATGAATTTTTATGTTAAATATATAATATAAATTTAGAGCACACTAATACTTGCAAATTACAGATTACGCATTCAAATATTCAATAATTCAAACATGAATGATCAATGATGTATCAAATTACCAATATCTAAATTCTAATTACTAATTATGTTTATTATTTAATATTTAGTATTATACATATATGTATTAATTATTATCCAATTCTAGTCATGTTACTCATGTATAAAATAATAAGTAGTTATCTTATATTGTTATGTATTACTATATATTTGTATTATTATAGTCATATAACAATTAACAAATACTAAAATAATATATTGTACATTATTATATATTATTATTATTACAAGTACATGATATGATGATAATACCATTTACTAATTATTATTAATAGCATTTACCTATATAATATAATAATATATTAGTAGTATATACTAATACTAAATAGCATTTATGTGACGGCCCCACCTCTCCCAAGGGCGTACCCCAGGGTTCAGCAGGTCGCCTGCCCAACTCTCGTCGGGACTCACTCACTCACTACAGTTCTCAAACAAATTATAAGATAAATCTAAAATATTACATCCAATTCTCCAGGATTTACATATCACGAGTACCAGAAAGTAAACCCTAGAAAAGCTGATAGTTACAACCGCCACGACAACTATATACATCTTACTAGTCAACTTATAACAAGTACAAATTTAACTCATCTATAATCAAAACACTAAACACCTTCCCGAGCGATCCCCGCGTCGGTCCCCTGCTAAGGAAAACAAATGGAAAGGGGTAAGGTATATGCTTAGTGAATAATCAGGGGTAAAAATGTAAACTCACATAATTAAACAAGTAAATCAGGGTAATTCACATCAATAACAGAAAAGTAACATCACAATGGTAGGATACGGGTGGCTCCAAAGTCAGTTCAATTCTCCGAGCTTGAACGCCTGTTGACACTCCGTCAACCAAAGTACTCATGGTCCGTAGACTCCACTTAACTTTCCCCGTTCACCTTATCAACCTCCGCTGGCTAGTCAACAGTACACAGTAGCTCGAGCGAAACAAAATAACTTAGCTTTCGTCAAAACTTTAACAAGGAACTAAATCCCAAGTTTAGCATGGAACTATCTTCGACCAAATCCCAACTGGCTCGAATAGCTCGTTTAACCCTTGGAACTGGGTTGGAACCAAGCCCTGAGATATCCGATCTCTCAATAGATGGTATCTCTCAACAAAGTACACAACAAAGTACTTACCCCAAACAGCACACAGCAAATGGGGTTCAATTCAAGTCATGTAATCACCCCCATCAGCACACAGCAAAAGGGTGATACTCAACATAAGACATGTATTCTCATATAGGAAATCAAAACAAAGGATGGGCTTAGGTCGAGTGAGATAAAGTACACCCTCGCCTAAGTACCCATTTAACATATACAAAGCACTTTAATAATTTCACATCAATAACAATCCAATTACTCACTTGATAATGCTTGGCACGAAAACGATACAATTTACTGAGCTTGACCGTCACCGTCAAAAGTCTCACAGTCTGTATTGACAGATTATATACACACATAAGTGAAACAGCCATACGATAGCAGTTTATAACGTAAACGATCGAAAACGATCGAAAACGGTCAAAAATAATAAAAAAAGGGTAAAAAATGACGTTAAGGCCAAAAGAATGTCGAAATTGGCCGAAATGGCTGGAATGGTAACAAAATAACAAAAATAATCCTAAACGGTCCAAAATGGCAAAACGGTTGAGAAATGCACGTACGCGTGCGTGAAAATGAAAATGGTACAAAATGGGTGACACGATTTTTGACCATAACTGGAGCTGTGGTTATTGAATCAAAATGTACTAGATAGTGTCTCAAAACTTAAACAAAATGTTACAACTTTCATGAAGATACCTCAACCCTTTTTTCAGTATATCCAAGTCAAATTTGCAAAATACAGAACTAGAACTCCAAAGACTGGGTTAGTCCTCTAGTGAAACTTTGGCGGCATGTCCCTTGTGTTTACCTATTTTCCAGCCATTTATGGCTTCAATATTTTCCTCAAACAGTCCCAAAGTCACATATAAAATAACCTCATTTCAGTAGCCGTTCAATAGGCTCAAAGTTATTCAAATACAAAATTAAACTAGGTACATGTATGGAAATAAAATGTAAGGCATAACTCAAAAGACAGATTTGCCGCCACTTAGCATAATGAGTACAACCGAAGCTACGCTTATCGGATTGGGGTAAAATTGATACTGTTTCGAAGCTAAGACAGAGTGCTACAACTTTGATGAAGACTACTCAGTCCAGTTCATAGTGTATCTAGGTCAAAAGTCTGGATTACAAAACCAAAATCTCATATTCGGGCTAGTTAACCACATTATGCGTAAATGATAATAACTCAGGTTACCGAAGTCCGATTGGGGTGTTTTCAGTTGCATTGGAAAGCTGAAACATAGGGATAAAACTTTCATGTTTTGACTAAAAGCTAGTTCAGTACGTATCAAGGTGACCAAATGCAACCAACTTAGTGTACTGTCAAAATGGTCCACTGACTTTACTCCTATGGTAGTCAGGATATTTTCATATTTTCACAGGCTACGTTACTCCGATTGAGCTGAAATTTTGTAGACAAACATAAAATATCATTCTCTACAACTTTCATGTTTTGTGCTAAGCCTAATTCGGCCTCTAACATAATGAACTGGAACCGGACAGAACTGAAGCTACAATTTCCAGAAATCTGGAATTTTGTTATATTCAAGCTATAAGTCACATTTTTACCTTAAAACTACCACTACTTTCTCCTTTACAAGATTATATACCATATATACACACCATATAACACCTAACCCACAAGAAACCCTAACTCAAAAGTCATCCCTCTAATCATCAAAACCATTTGAAACAAGCATCACAAGCACAATTCTAACATTAATACCCAACTTAATCATGATTAATGGAGAAAGAAAGGTTGATCAGCCATTATACCTCAAGACAAGATATTGCAAGAGTGATCCTCCACTTCTCCTTGAAATTTTTGGTTCCTTAAGCTTCCCAAGCTTCCAAACTAGTGATTAATCAGTTTAGTTTTTCTTATTTGCACTCAAAAGGTTCAAACTCAAGATGGATTGAAGTTGTTTATCTTGCTCTCTCTCTCTCTCTCTCTCTCTCTCTCTTATGCTCGGCCAAACCAGGGGAAAATGGTGAAGAAATGGACTCACATGGAAGATAAGAAGGTGAGACTTTGGCTTGGTCAAGGAACCATAGGTGGCCGACACTTGTCACCACCAAAACCAACTAAAATTTTGTTTTCTTTTCCTTGCATTTTGGGTCAATAATTTCGGCTATAAGGCTGAGGATGAGGGAGATATTTTGCAAAAATATCAAGGGTATGTGGTGGTAGGGAAGTGGTGGTTAAGTGGTGGGTTCAATCGGTAGTGATCGATACCCGTCGGTTTGAACCGATTTTTCTTAAATCACGTATACTAGGGTTTTTACTTTCTAATCACTAACTTATTATTATCACTTCTAATCATATAATATTTCCTCATCCAAAAGCCACTCTTACCTACCAAATTTGATCCTCACTCCGTACCGAATAGTCACCCTACAGAAAAACGTGAAAACCCTAATTCGCTCTAACTTAAAAATGGAAAGGGAAAACCTTTACTTTCATGTTCATTTGCACTTATTGTGGGGTGATTGGGTGGTGGGGCTATTATAAAATCATAAGTTCCAAATAAAAGGGAATTTTTAAGAAAAACGTGAGGGGTTTTACAATTCCATAAATTGAATTTAGGGTTTCGCTTAAAATATGAGAAATTTGAGAAAACGGTCAGTCACAAGTGAAACTAGGGTTTTGATTAGACGTTTAGGGTTTCTAGTCTTTTAAAATAAAGCAAGGTTTTAAATCAAATCCAAAGAAATAACTTTAGTTTCTTCTTTAAAACAAAATAATGTTTTAAAATAAAAATAAACTAAAGAAATCGTAATATTCTTTTTGAGACTAAACAAAAGATGATCCTAAAAGTTGGGGTATCACAATTTATCTATATATTATATAATTTTATATACCAATTTGGTATTTGAATGCGGTAATGTGGTACCCTATTTCAATTACCGAATTTGAATGCGAAATCGGTTATTACCAAATTCATAATCTCATTACCTCTTCATGCCATATTAGAATTCGGTGAATTCGGTATGTACCGAATTTGTACCAAATTACCAAATACTCGATTTCAAATTACCGAATTGAATTTGAATTCGGTTATGAATTCGGTATGAACCGAATTTGCTCATCCCTAGTTGTACGCTTTCTAAAAGTTTTAAAATTTGATGTAATGAGCATTGGAACGCTTTGGTTAATTGCTATGTAATGAGTCTATAAGGCCCTCCAAATGGCCTTTTTTTTGGGTTTTTTGACATTCCAGTCTATCAGAAGTTGCCCAGCAAAACTGTAGAAAAATATTCTTGAAATTAAGACTTGGGTCACCAATAACAAAAATTTCTATAGGAGGAGGGTGTTGAGTTGGGTGGTAAGGTAGGAGGGATTTTATATAAGAAGTCTTGGATTAAAAAATTTTCACTTACGAGAGAGAGAGAGAGAGAGAGAGAGAGAGAGAGAGAGAGAGAGAGAAGTTCCTATTAGGCATTCTCAAATTGAGACTCGTAATCAGTGACCGTAGCTTCAAAACACTACTCATATCTGCTGAACTCTACCAAACGAATAGTTGAGCAAATTCCCAGGAAATTTTAAGTTCACTTTACTTTGAACTCCATGTCGATTGCAGTAAGTGAGTTTTAGCCAACAGAAATAATGTTTGAGAATAAAATGACAATGAACTGTATGTATTAATAAACATAGAGCATTTAACATGTTCAGGGTTAAGTTGCAATGAGCTTATCCATTGCCATTAGAGGCTAACTGCAACTACTAGTTGTAGATAACTTGTAATTGAAAGCCGAGATCTTTATCTTTGAGTTCTTCATCTTTGTTAACCATAGTATCATGAAGAAGTCAATTTCGCCCCTGAAAGATTGCTTCTCACTTCATTTGCCATGCCAATGAAATGTCTATCTTCACATCCTACCATATGGAGAATAATAAAATACAATCAGTAGAAAAATAGAGTTACAAGATCTACATGTCTCTTGACATAGAGAAAAAAATCAAATCAGCAAAGAATAGACACGTCTGTTGTAGCTTTAAGTAAAAGCAAATACCTATATAAGTAAGCTCCTTTAGAAGTTGGAAAAGGTAATCTCTGTTCGGTGCACAGGTGCCTTCCGCACGAGCAATTTGACTGTACAAATACAAGAAGATATCAGGATGCATTGGTTTTGCAATCCAAACCAATGTGTCACTCTTAGGAAATATCCAAGAGCACACTACCACCTCAAAGGCTATAGAAGCAACAAACATGAACGCTATACAACATTACTTGTATAAGAAAAACCCTCCTTGGACCTTGACCCTTTAAAATTCAGTCATCTGGACAAATTTTAGGATCTGAAGGCTGGAAAAACTAGTTTTAAAATCCATGGACAAACAGGAGCATTTTTACTAGAAAGAACTGAAAGGGCAAAGCAATGAGGGGTATGGAGAGGAAGAGAATCGGACCAGGTTTTTAATATGCAGATCAAAGACCTTAGATCACTGTGCTATATCCAAATCCGTTCAAATAGAAGATCCTCCTATTTTTAGATTTAGAAAGCGACCAGATGTAAGTAAGTTTGACAGCAAAAATATCTTTTCAACCCATAAATGTTTCAAGAACTGGCAACTATGTTCCTCGGTCTCGAGTATGGGTGTCAAATTTGGGTATGTGTCATAGTGTCTAATTTGTCAACCACCTAAATTTAGGATATGGGGACACTTCTAAAGACTCAGACACAGGCACATGGGTGCGGCAAAATTTCTAGTAAATATAAGAATTATACACTGCATCCAACATACAAGTCATAGCTCACTAAGGATTGGAGAATTCTAAAGTAACCAACAAGTCATAGCTCAAAAGGATTCTAGTGTAATAAGGACTCCAATGCAACAAGTCTTCTATATCTATGAGTTTTCTCACTCAGGTCTTCTCCTCTTGCTTCAACATCAGACCTCACAAAAGTAAGTGTCCAAAAATTTTTCAAAGTGTCGGATGCATATCCCATACCAGCACCAGTGTCGTGTCGACACGGTACTTTGGGGACAAATGAAGAGTTTAGGTAACATAGACTGGCAATGTCTAATTATAACATATTCGCACTGATAATGCAATTTTCAGAGCTTAATGCTCCAAGCAGACAACCCAAAACATGACAAAGCAGACAACCCAAAACACAACAAAAAGACAAATAGACTTACTTTGCAATATCCTGAAGGGATGCAGGATCAACGTAATTATCGTTGAGCTTCTTGTCTGCTGATTCAATGTATATACATTTAGACTTTGTCAGTTTTGACTTGATCCACTTCAGCAACAAAACATGTAGAATTCACTAAATTCTAACAGGGTTCCTGCAACTATGACTCTTGCAACATGCTTGCAGAATAGGGGTAAAATCGAGCCGAGTCGAGCTCGAGTAGTAGCCTACTCGAGCTCGAACTCGACAACATCCACCAGGAATCGAGCTCGAGCTCGAGCTCGATCGAGCTCGAGCAATGAAGATCGGGATTGACTCGAGACAAGCACGAGTAAGATCGTACTCGACTCGATCAAGCTTGAATGCATATCGAGCTTGAGCTCGAGTCGAGTACTCGAACTTGACATGCATCCGATCGAAGCAACAACAGCAACATCAGCCCTACTTCCCCTCTTTCTCTCTTTTTCTTCTTCTTTCTTTTCTTTCTTCTTCCTTTTCTTTCTTTTTCTCCTTCTTCTTCCTTCTTTTCTCCTTGTCCGCCGCCGCCACTTTGCACCCCGCCAGATCGCCGCACGCCACACTGCCGCCCATCGCGCCTGTTGCCCAGCCGCGCCTCGCCACCAGCAGCTCCTTCTCACGCAACCCCTGCGCGACTCAACCGCAGTCGCCCCCTTGCGAGCAGCCTGCCCCTTGCGCTCCAGTTCACCTCTAGGCAGATCGAGCAGCAACTCAGCCGCAGCAGTCCAGCAGCAGCTGCGCACGGCGCGCAGTCATCCGCCAGCGCGCGACGCCCTCTCCTCCACGGCGTGCGCCAGCAGCGCGCAAGACTCAAGAGCTTCCTCTAAGTCAAGACTCAAGAGCTCAGAAACCATTACAAGTATTGCAGCAGCAGCAGCCCCCAATTTTTTTGAGTTGTGACAATCGAGATTTGAGAAGATGAGCCAAAGACTGAGATTGGGATTTGAGAGGTAAGCTGAACTCTGAAGACTGAAGAGGAACGAAGAAGGCGAATGAAGGACAGAGTTTGCAATGCATTTCATCGTTTTTAGTTTACGAGCCAAAATTACTTATTCACCCTTCATTATTATTACAACATAACTGGTTAAGCCCATAAATATTCTAACTAACAAACCTAAAAGAGTAAATTGATATATAAAATATACAAATAGGCCACCAAGCTCAAGCTACTCGACGAGTTAAAATTTCTTGCCATTAATTACTCGAACTCGACTCGTTTACTGTAGCAAGTAGCTCGAAATCGCCTCGAGCTCAAATTTGCTCGAGCTCGATTCGAGTAGCTAACCAAGCTACTCGCGAGCTCGATTCAAGCTACTCGAATTCTCTGCACCCCTATTGCAGAATGTAGATAGAAGTGTGCTTCTCTGCCTTTCAAAAGAAAAAGATCCATCCCTAACCACAGACCTAAAGAGTGGTCAACTTGTGGACCAAAAAAAGCCATTTCTCTTCATACTTGCTATGACTTGACCACTTTCGAGACCTAGGACTTTTATCCAGCATTGATGGACTACAAACTGCACTTCTAGGTTAAAAAATTATCCATCCTTCAAATTCGCCAATGTGGCAACATGTTCAGATCTGACTTTCCTCGACGTCATCTTTTGGAGTGAAACTAAAATCTTACAATCATGATCTCCTTGCACGATTCTGATCCTCATCATGGTGGAGAATGCAATTAAAGCTTGCCCAGCAATCAAACATGCATACAAGATCAAGTAGCGCCATCCACTAGGCTCCACCCAGGTGTTTTCTTCATACGTCCTTCCTTCATAAACTTCCTCAGCTTTACCACATCTTCCCATCTGCCAGCCTCTGCATACATGTTAGACAAGACAACATAAACCCCATGGTTTTGTCGATCCAAAGCAAGAATTTCCTTTCCTACCCTTTCAGCAACATCAGTATTCTTGAAGTTCTTGCAAGCTGTCAACAGGGCTCCCCAAATCACTACATCGGCTTTCCATTTCATTCCTTTTATTAGCTCCTCAGCCTCCAGTAACTTCCCACTTCGGCCAAGAAGGTCAACCATGCAACTATAGTGCTCTATCTTAGGCTGAATCCCATACGCCCTGCTCATAGAATGGAAAATTCTCCCACCAAAATCAAACAATCCAGCATGGCAGCATGCTGACAAGACTCCAATAAATGTAATATCACTCGGTCTCACCTTCTCTTGCTCCAGCTTCTTAAAGAAATCCAGGGCTTCTTTAGCATGGCCATGAACAGCCAATCCACATATCATTGAATTCCAAGTTGCTATGTTCCTTTCTTGCATACTAGCAAAACACTGGCGTGCCTGCACAAACGCTCCATTCCTAGCATACATATTAACTAGTGCCGTCCCAAGAATGACTCCCAATTCAATCCTTTTTTCCTGCATATAAGAATGAATCTGTCCTCCCAATTCCAAACCACCAGACTGAGCACAAGCCGACAATACTGAAGCCAAAGTAACTCCATTGGGCTCAAAGCCATGGGTGATCATTGCATGAAACAATTGAATTGCCTCGCTGCCACAATCAGATTGTGCATACCCGCTTATCATCGTAGTCCAAATGCTCAGATTTCTCACAGACACTTGGTCGAACAATTTTCGGGCATGGCTCAAACAGCCGGAAACAGAGTAAGCCCTGATCAAGCCATTAGCCACGTGCAAATCCGAGTCTAGCCCAAACTTCAAAACGTTGACATGGATTTGAGTAGACGCACACAAAGATTTTAAGTTAGAACAGGCCTTGAGAACAAAAGGGAAGGTGTGTTTACCGGGAGCAATGCAGAGCCTTCGCATTTGAACAAAGAGAGACAAAGATCTCTGAGGCGTTGGGCTGCTAGCTAGCGCTCTGATCAGAGTATTCCACATGAAAGAATTCGGTTGTTGGATGCTAGAGAATATTTTGAAAGCATGATTAAGGTCTCCATCATCCGAGAGGGAGCAGAAGGCGAGCAAGCGGCTGGCCGCGTAGTTGTCATAGCGGATGCGACCGGTGGTGATCATTTGGGCGTGGATTTGCTTGAGCTGGTGCATGCAAAGGCATTGATCTGCCAGATTGGATAAGCTCGGAGGCTTCGATGGTGGTGGCGGTGGCGGTGGCGACCGCGACGGCGACGGAAGCGAAAGGGGACACGAGGTAATGGTACGAAGGTGGGGAGTGAGAGAGAATTGGCGGGTGCATTTGAAAATCATGAGCCACGCGGCTGGCTTCCTAAGGCTAACTCGTTTCGCCAGTGTTTGTGAATGCTCCACTAAATACTCCGCCAGAGCAATAGAGGATTCAACTGGAATCGAACTTTTAAGCTGTCATACTCGACTCTGACCTTAGGACTCGAGCTCAAATCACGAGATTAAATTTTAAGCTTAAGCTCGATTGGATTTAATATTTAATAAGTTTGAGTTCAATGAAGTTCGATATTTATTGAAAATTTTAAAATTTAATATTTTTTATCTATAACACATTTATATAAAAATCTATGATAAAATATAATTGTATGATATTATATACAATAGTAATAAAAAGTTTTTAAATAAAAATATAAAAATTTATTCGTGCCTTAAGAAATTGTACGTGTACAAATTCGAATTCGATTTCGAGACCTTAAATAAGATTTAATTTTTGTTTGAATTCGAGCTCGAACTCATCAATATTCAAACTCGAGTCAAACACTTAATGAATTTACTCTAAACTATTCTTAAGGGCTTGATTGATTTGTAGCGCTATCCTCCACTAACTAATGCCCAATTAGTAATATTCCTACAAGAAACAAACAAGTGCATGTTACTCTCAACTATTGCTAAATGTTATTCTCAACTTAATTCCATGGCTATGAAAGAGGCTATTCAATACTAAATTGAGTTTGACTCAATAATAATTCATTTAAACTTAGTTTGTCAACTAATCAAACTACTATGAATGAAAGTTTATCTTAACAAACTTTCAAACTCGATTTAGCTCTGCCACAATCAAATTTTACATTTATAACATCATAAATACTTTACACGCGATTTTTCTGCAAGTATGCAGGTCATGAACAAGTATAGGGTATTTAGGATCGATCCCACGAAGAAGATTTTCAATTACCGGTGATTTTCGAACTCCTTTATTATTTAGACTATAAACATGAAGTAAAAGTAATAAAATTAACACTAAAAAACTCCTAGAAGTATGGAATTTCTTATTACTCTCGCTAGTGAGATTATCCGGTAAGTGAATGCTTTTATCTTGGCTAGTTATGACGTAATTTCCTAATGTATGTGAAACCTACTCTCGTAGTGAATCAACTATACTTATAACTAAACCATACCTACTTTTGTGGTTACGAATTAACTACAAGCTCATTTCTTATATGAAATTACATGAAACTAGTCACTAAAGCCACATAGGTGCACATCTATTCTCGTAAGTGTACTCCCTAGATTTATCACTTCCTTGAACTAGTGTTAAATTTCAATTCTCATTGCAAACTTAATACCTTAAGATAATCACAACTAATGGCCAGTAAATCATGATTAGAAAAGCGCAAGTGATAAATAACGTGCTAAAAATAACATCATCAAATAATCAATTAAACATTACTAACAAGATATAGCAAGTTCAGCCATAACTCTAGGCATAAACTTTAACTAAACATGATAACAAACACTGAACTTGTATTTAGTTAAACATGAAATCAAATACAAAAGAAAAAGTTATAGGAGAGATGTCACCTTTGTCACATGAGTTTAAAACTCTCCATCTTTGCTCCTCAATTTTCATCCAAATCTAACTACAAATACAAGATGGATAACTACACTACCTATACTATACTACTCCAACTAATGAACTAAGGAAATTCTAGTGAAGACTATATTTTTGTGGAGTTTCTCTAGCTTTCCAAAGTTTTTTAAAGTGTTCTTCAAAGGCCTCTATTTATAGAGGACTCAAGAGCCAAATGAGTGGTTTCTAGTTGTCATTTTTTACTCTTGAAACTCCCATGAGTTGTCTTTCCAACTTTTCACACTTTTCTTTATCGGATACAGCCGACATTGGTAGCTAGAATTGAGCTGGAAAAGTTGTGTGAAAGCAGGGCAAATTGATGAGCAAGTTGCAGAAAACAGAAGAGAATACGCGACTTTAGGTTGCGTATTGATAGCTCGCATTTTCGTTTCTGTGCATTTAGCACCACTTCAACTGCTATTTTCTCAATGGTGGAGGCCGAAGTAACTCTTGTATAGAACATGAAAGTTGTACTACTTTGAGTTATATAGACTGAGAAATGACCAAAATACCCTCAACTAGTCAGAGCTCTATTTCAGCTTTCGACAACAGAGTTACACTTCTATATTTTGACATTTTGACAAGGAAAATGACTAAACTGGATTTCGATATTTTCATACCAAATGTAGATATATCTCTTAGTTTCAAAATGGTATAAGAATCACCTCAATCCAATCCTTGTAGCTCAAGATATAGCTGAAATATCACAAGGTGTCAAAGCTGAAAAACTTGCATTTCTTTTGTTCTTGATTGCATTTCCTCTTTTGCATTTCATATTCTCTTTTTATCACTTCAAACCATCATCAATCATCCAATTGTTTTCTCAATTCATGCCATTTAATGATGGAATCCTTAAACCTATATAAAACATGAAATTTTCACCATTAAAATCCATAATAATGCAATTTTTATATTTAAACCACAAAATGCATATTTTCACTAGAATCCTAACTAATTAGTTATAAAACTAAATAAAATACACCAAAACCAACTAATAAAACATACTTAAAACACGTAAAATATACTCTTATCAAATTCCCCCACACTTGAACCATTGTTTGTTCTCAAGCAATAAGAAATATAAACCAACAATAATCCAACATTTTGAAAATAAACATACGTGTACCATTCAATTTCATTTACTCAAAACAAGGTAAATGACCATTATGCAATCATTCAACTAAGATCAAGTACTCATAATATCAACTAAAGGAGAGTCAATTATACCATAATTTTAACTAGTTTAATTCAATTTCTCATCCTTATCCAATTTTACTGGTAAGTAACTCATATGGTCAATAAAAATGCTAACTAAGCTCATGATCATCTTCTTATTCATACTTAAAGAGGGATTTATTCATATATCATAGTTAACTATATTTCTCAAGTTGTGAAAGTGTCTTTTGACACGATGATCGACATGTTTAGATGAAAATCACCGATTACTCAACACTTCACATACTCAAGTTGCCTTGCCTACTCTTAATTCAAGTATCGTTTTACTCAAAAGTCGACATTTGTAAATGAAGATTCTCGGTTACTAAATACAAGAACCATTGGAGTAGAACAACTCTTATTTTCTTATTTTCTCTTATTTTTTCTTTTTTTTTCAAGGTAAAGATAATAAACATTCCCTCAAAAGAATAATCATGAGAAAAGTATTACACTTACTGACCATATTTATCACTTAACTTATAAAATCAAATCAAGAGAAAAAATTTCATCAAAATTTCAAAATGTAGGCAGAATTTTCTCTACTTTACATGATATACTTTCCTATAAATGCATAAATTATAATCACATAATAGTCATTTCCAAATTAAATGAGAAAAGAAGTTTTCAATCCACATATATTTATCTCAAAAGTAGAAGGATTTTGAATTCCTAATGGAATGGAACTTGTTACCCTTGGATAAAATTGAAAAAATTTAAAACTTTTGGGGCAAATTTATAATTTTGGACAAGATTTTGAAAAAATTTTGGCAGAGTTTCCCCTAAAAACTGACAAAACTCCTGCCAACAAACCCAATTTTGAACAAATTAAAGCACAAGAAATATTTTCAAGGCAAGTCCAAATCATTTCAATCACAAGTAAATCACAACCAATGCATATCATCTCAATTCTTCCTCCCCCTCCCCCCATACTTAACATGCACATTGTCCTTAATGTGTAAAAAGGGAAACCAAGCTAAAGAAAGTAATACTCCCCTGTTGTTGTGATTAAAATGTGTAACATTGAAGCTTCACAATCCATTGTCCGTGTTTCTTCAAAGCTTCATGAGTTCCATTGGAATCCATCAGCAATACAATCTAACATGCAAAATAGCAAATAAACTAGGTAGGGTCAAGGATGCAAAAAGTGGCAAGGACATGAAGAATATTTTGCAAATAACTCTTTGTCAAAGTCTCTCACATCATCACACCACATTTCCGAAACTCTTAAAGTATTTAGCACAATTATCACCCTGCTTACCTAGATTAAGAAGTATAAATATGTTTCCTTCTCTAGGTAATTATGACATCACCATATAATGACAAAATTAGGAGCAAAACTAAATATAAGAAACATACATTATGCACATGTTCAATTTTACCCCTAAATTATCACCAAAATTGATAAATTCTTCACATATTCAAAATTCATCATCCAATCATACTCTATATGAAGATTAAGCAATAAAATGTCACCATATAAGGAACGTGTACATGTAAGCATCATAAACAAGTCACATTTTAGCAATTTAAATTGTCCAATTATGCTTAACAACATTCCAGGATCAAGTACCACATTGATCATAAATAAGAATATGCATAAAGTAAAAATTGCATAGATCATCACATTCCCACATTTGATCATCTAAACATGCTTAGAGATGTTAAATAAGCATAATGGAGCTTCTATACATCAATAAATAACATCACAAATTCGCTATCCAAAGTATATCAATAAACTCATAAGATATACCAATGGTGAATTTAAAGTGCTAAGTTAAGTTGCAGAAATTTACATCAAATTGGTAGAGTGATGTTCGGTGATGCAAATGATGTAAAAAGTCTATGAAATTCACCCCATTTGATCTCCAATTGAAGAAATTAAGAACTAAGAACCCTAGCCTTCAACCAATTTTTGAGATGTTTTTGTTGAATTTTAATTGGTTAAAAAGGCTCTTTAAAGGTCAAATGATGTCAGTTGAATGATGTCATGCAAGGAAAAGGTGTATAAGAGGAGATTGGTGAAGTGTATGTGAGTAGGGGTGAGAAAACACGAGGTGAAGCAAGAAGAAGAAAAAGGAAATGAACCTACATTTTGTCTTTTAAATTGGTCCCTAAATATGCGAGTTGAATACACAGCCTTGAAGTCACATTTTGGAAATCGCATTTTCAGTTGAAAAATCACAGGATCGAATATGCGGGCTTATGAGAACACGACTTGGAGTCGCGTTTTGGTAGTCGCGTTTTCTATTGAA